AGGGGAGACGCTTCGCTTGCTTGCCCCCCTTTGCCTCCACTGCGTGCAACCGAGAGCCGGGAGGGTGTCAGACCTTCCCGCTTCTGCCTCCTGGAGAACGGGCACAGCCTGGAGGCTCCGTCGCCTGCTGCCCGGGTCGCACCAGGAGTCACCTGCCTTCTCCTCACAGGCCCTGCCTCGGGCATCTGACCCATCGCCAAGCGTCCAGGCGGTGCCCCACGTCCCTCCGTGCCTTCCTGCACCATTGGGGCAGACGCCGCTTGCGGCACCTCGCTGAGCTCGGCGGGGCCTGGCGACCCGCCCACGGGGACATTGGGCTCCGTGTGGGCCTGGCCCGCTGTCTCACCTTTTGCCGTTTGGCCGCTCGCAGCAGCCTCTTCTCCTGGCCCAGCTGGAGCCGTGTCCTCTCCAGAGCCTCCTTCAGCAGAGCCTTCTCTTCTGCCTCCCTGTAGGCTTCGTCCTCCAGTTTGGACATCTCCTCCTGGCACCTTCGCAGCGATGCTTGGTTCACCCTGTGCAGAACGGGAGGGGTGGGCTGTCACCTGCATCGACCCCCAGCTGGCCTCTGTCTCTCCTAGGACCCCCCTCCCTGGGGTGACACCAAAGGCCGTCAGAGATGCTACCACCTTGCCAGGACCTGCACACGTTGCCTGCTCCGATTCCTCACGCCGCGGACAAACCCCGCTCCTCCTCCCTTCGCCAAGACCAACACGCCGCCTCTGCCAGCCTTTCCCCCCTCACGCCCACCCCACCCCATACGAGGTGACGGGTGCGCTCCCTTCCATTAGCGTACGAGCCCGGGGAGGGACTTCGGGTGGCTGTGCCGGCACTGCTGGCTTGGGGCTCGCGTGTGGACCTCCCGCCTCCTCAGAATGCCCTCGCCTCTCGACACCCACCCGGAAATTGCTTTCTGCAGCACTTTTTCCGCTGCTGCGGGCAACGAGACTTCTGCATTTCTGCAGCGAGCCCGAGCGCAGCCCTGGGCTCCTCCCCGCTCCCCACACCGCCTTGCGCAGCAGCTCGTGCAGCGGGCGCATCCCCTTCGGGCTGGGGAGCCC